CTACCCTTAACATTTAGGGGGGATGAGAAATAGATGTTATCCGATTCTCAGACATACCCAATATGCACACAAAATTTTATGAGAATCGATCAAGCCGTTTCGGAGGAATTTAACTACAAACACCGCGACACGAGAATTTTATATATAAGATATAATATTATATATGGGTAGGTGTAGTTCGGTTTTACAAAAGTAATGTACTCGGCTGTACGGCGTATAGTCCATGTAACTTGTAATCAAACCAGCCAAAATAAAACCACATATTAAATCCAATAGGACTTCCGACTTCCATTGAAACAAAAATTTCACCTTTGAAGTTATATGTGCATTTCAGTATAACATTTATTTGGCTGGCTTGTATCCATAAGTGTACGCGGCTATATTTTTTCTATTTTAAAACCTTCAACTACTAAATAACCTTTTGTAATTGACAATAGAGATAGTGTCATTAACCATAGATAATTTGACAATTCTAAAGGCCTCGACCTTTGTCGTGAAATCAAGCGGGTAATTAAACGCCAATCTATTTTTTGTTGCAAAATTCTAATCTATACGTTGGTTTAAGAATGTCATGTGGGTGATAGAATCATAGATAATCTATAGCATTCTGATTGACCAATTGTTTATCTATGATCTATGTGTTGACGTCAAAATTTTTAATATTAGTAGCTGGCTTGAACGCGATTCGAGAAGTTCATATCAAATTCGTCAATTTTGAATTTAGAATATTAACAGTATATTACGTTTTTATGATGTGCGCAATATAGTGCTGGTAAGTATTTGTTGAGGGTAACTGTGAGGTGCCACGTTTCCCGAAAGTCCTTAGGAACATGTGCATGACATGCTGCTGAGAGTACTAAGCAGTAGGAATAATATGAAACATTTTTCAGGCCACTACTAGCGCCAATGGGACTTGTGCCAAACGGTTTTTGTTGGAATCATTACATATGTAAAGTCTTTCACGATGTTATGTAAATCACATCGATTCGGGAGTATGTAGTACCGCTGTATCGGGATAGGTGGCGGTAGGCGTTCCATATGATGTTTGGATATACCACATATCCTTGATATACAAATTTTTTTTTAATTAGGTTTAATTATTATTACTTTTCTATATTGCGATTACAAGATCGGGTCTATAAGGCAAAACGTCATATTAATTTTAATCTATTAAAGTTAATAAAATAAATTCGCTTAATACAGTTATTTGACGACATAGCTATTTAAAATTGTCCGTATTCTCCTTCTCATATAATAAAATATATTAATTATGTGTTATTATAGATTATTTTATATATAGATATAATTATACCTTTTTTTGAATAATGCAATACCATTGATGTCGATTTTAAGATAGTTTTCGCTTTTGTTCTTGTACCAATAAGAACGGACTCCTAGTTATATTGTTTTGCTATTACGTATGCAGTATAAAGTACTTCAAGTGATTTTGAACCAAAATTAACGAAAGACACATACAATGGCAATTGTATGCGTTCCCTAAACAGCCCTCCAGTCCTAGCCACAATGAAAATTACCGTATCACAGAAGCATGCTCAGTTTCTGCTTTAATTTCACAATTTTATCGTGCGTTTGAATAATTTTACAGTAACAGTTTATTACTGGGTTCAGTTTCAGTACTGTAAAATAATTAAATAGTTTAACAAAAATCATGAAACAATTATTACGAAGTACTGTTTACATACGTAAAAAACGTTTATATGTCCTAAAATTATAAACCAGGTAGTATATTTGGAAATTATTAAGTGACTAAAAGTTTATTTTCGGCCAAAAAATGCCAATGCCTGTGCTTGATAACAGCTTAATTGTGGCAATTATGTGTGTGTGTTTAAACCTAACTTAATCTATCTAAACTAATATACACTTTGGTGTAGGAGGTCGTACGTAAGTACTATTAAACCTGCAATATAAAACATGAAAAACATGATTTTAAAAAAGTTTAATTTTAATAAGTAACAGAAAAACCATCTCTGTAGGTACATATTTTTGTTATTAAATTTAATTGCATAAGGGTATATTGTGTTGAATTTTATGGGTCATTGGGCATCGGTGCCTGGTGCGAACGCGTGGGAAATTCGGGAATGGGGTTGAATTTAATGATTGTAATGAATAGAAATTAGGGAATAAATTTAACGTTACAGCTGTAATATTTTGCTATAGTAATATTTGCTTTAAAATTCGTCACAATTCCAGTAAAGGTTATAGTTTTTTAATTGTTGTGTCCGTGGGACTAGTTTATAAAGATTGTATTTGATTCCCAGGAAAATAAATTTATGAAACAAAAGTCTTTGCCTTAGAAAGGTTTGCGTTCGTATACTATTTTTTTATTTCCATGGAATTATTGCTGATCACATAAAATGCATATGTGCTGCAGCTCCAATTTAAATATTTAACAATATTGTCTGTATTAAGTTAAATCTTTCAAATAAAACTTTTCATACACAGTCGCAGACCACAACTTACATAACACACAAAACGTCGGGGAATATTGTAGTAATTTAGCTTTTAAAATGTAATTATCGAAACTAGGCGATCAATCTTACTACTTTATTCTTCAAAAAGTAAATTCTCTTTGTCTATTTCACATTCAATCTAAATTATATGTTATCCTTATTAAACTTCCGTTGTACCAAGCCGTAAACTCTAGTATTTCTCAGAATCATATAAGGCAGCATTAAATCAACTTGCTCGATTTGGTCAGAGCTATGAGGGTCACTTCACACCTTGAACTTAACCGTGCTCAGACGCAACGAACGATTTATGGTGTCAATTAGTCTTACGTGTATTGTTATGGTGGTGTAATTTATTTTTATAAATCGATATGAGATATGTTTCGACGAATCTATCGACACTCATGCATCGGGAAACGACTTGTCATTATTTACTTTTTATGTACATTACTTCAAAATTTTAGTTCGTTTTGGGAAGCATGGACCCCACCATACTGGTCAAAGCCACCGTCTTTTCCGCATTATAAGGATTATTTATAGGTGTTGGAAATTAAGTATTCAACCTCTCAATTGATTCGAAGATACTTATCAAAAGAGGTTTTAACTTTCCATTTTCCGAATCGCCTACGTATAAACGAAAATTACTTACCCTTAAAGTGGCCTAACGGAAGTGGTAATGTAATATCCATTACAAAGAGCACAGCTGCTCAGCATACATTAATTTTATCTTTAAAAAAGTGACTTTCCCTAAAGCAGTCAAATTGAGGACAAAGTGGCCCAAGTGGGCTTCAGTTATATTAAAAAAGTTATGTCGCAAACCGTTTGTCCTCGCTTGGGTTAATTTTTTTAATAGTGATTAAAATCATCTAAATAATACATTTCCTCAATAGATTTCACATATAATGTTTTTTTTATAAACTATAGTTCTGTTGTATTTTATAGTCACCTGTTTAAATTTGTGTTCTATATTTTACAAATATTTTACAGCAAAAAATACCTAAAATGTGAGAAAAATATAGAACACAAATTTAAACAGGTAACTATAAAATACAACAGAACTATAGTTTATAAAAAAAAACATATGTGTAATCTAATATATTATACATACATTGGATGTAACAAAATGCTAGCTTATTTATGATTCCGAAAGTTTATGTATAAAGTTATTGGGTTAATTTGTAACCCTTCAGTCCTTTTTATTTCATTAAATTAAGGTAAAGTTTTAATATGGGTCAGGCACATTTTTTACACAAATAATTTGTGTTCTACCAATCTGAAGTAATACTTCCTTGGGAATCGAATATTTGGTTTCATATCAACAAAGACTAATGCCACAGCGGTAATTCCTAGACAGTTATTTTTTTTAATTAAGAGTTAAATAACATGAACATTAATCAAACACTAAATAATACAAGTCGAATTCTAAGTCTATTGGGTTTTTTGAAGTCGGTTCAAAATCTTTATACATACGTTTATAAATCTACGACATATCAATTAATAATACATATAACAAGAATCCAAGACACTATTTTCTATTGTTTGGCTCACCTCGACGCTCTATGTTTAATAAAAAACACAAAAATAATAAAATACTGCTATAACATTTCGTTTAAAAATCTTTTTAATAACATGTTTTATAAACTTTTTAATTTATAGCCTAATGGTGATAAATTATAGTTACGATTTTTTATTGCTACTTTTAAAGTGATTTCGAGGAATAAAACAACAAATTATTGAATACAGTTTTTATTGGTTTTTCTTGTAAATAGGTTAGTATTAATATGTTTGATAATTGTACGTATAATAAGCATAAATTGTTTGTCTTGTTATGAATACGTTATTTTTATTTATATACACACGATAATCAAAAATGTTTCTAAACTTATGAAACTTGATAGGAAACAAATTCAATAGTAATTTGGGACATATAGCTAAATAAAAGTACCTTTAAACATTAAATTAATAACCTCGTTTTTAAGTAAGTTAAAAATTTATTTTGTTTACTTGACGAAAGCCATAAATCTAATTTAAACACACTTATCTATAAATATAGGAATGAATTATAAACATTTAGTGTAATTACTATTATATTATGCATTAATATAATAATTACAATTGATCACTCATTGTACTATTCAAAAAACTTGGGTATTTACTTATCGTTTAAGTTAAATAAATCTAACCTTGACCCAAATAATGATTTACCTCGTAATATGCATTAAATTTAAAAGATTAATTCAAGTTTAAAATATACAATGAGTGCCTTATCTAATAAAAAGAACTTGAGAACTATACTTGTAGTATAATTTGAAGTCCATTCATAAATCACAACACACAATAATATCACAATATAACCTATTACCTACACTTAGTATCAATTTCATATAGGCCGCTTCAAGGTCTATAAATCTGTAGACTGAGCAAATATCCTACATTTTAATTATGTCCTTAGGTAAGTTCAACCTAACTCTAAGTAAGAAGTACATAAAATGCATTGTATTGAGCAACTAAAGCTTATCACTACCTTATCATTTAACTTTTAAAGATATTTAAGAGTTTTGTCTTAATGTTCAAAAGGGTTGTGATGGATCTCTTCACTTTCTTCTTTGGCGTCCTTTCGGGCCTCAGGAAGGGCTCTGAATGCCACTTTTGCATTGGTGTCTGACACGGTGACAGATCTTCTTTACCAACTTGATATTTGTACTCCTTGACTACTTTTTCTTCGTTTGGATCGTACCTATATAGAACTGAGTATGTCCTTTTTACTTTCTTTGGCATCCGAGGGTTGTTAGCTGCCCTTTCGCTCTTACATCTTTTTACCTTATTACGCCCATAGTAGTCTTCATACCTGTCAGCATCTACATAAATGATGCGCTTTCCCAGTGCTTGCTCTCGTTCTTTTTTCAGACTCTTCCAAGAGGCAATTACTGATTCTCGCCGAAATGTCTTATTTGGATTGTGACGACTGATCATATACGGCTGTTCGTCTTGAATATTTGACGTATCTTTCAACGGCGATCCCCTGGGACTCTGGCTATATTCGACCTCATAATCGTCTCGGGAAATCTGTAATAAAAAAGGTCCACTATTAATAAAATATTCTATGTGTCTCATAAATTAATTAATCTCAAACAGCTGTCCCATAAACTACGTCAGTGATCTTAGGGATTATTTTAAGTACCAATATCGTAAATATCGTACGTGCAAGGGCGCGTTAGGTCGGTATTGCTGTCCTTATCTTTTGTTACTAAATAAATCACCTAACTCTGTTTATGTCGTCATGCGAGCCCTTCGAATGGTGCCCACATGTCTGTTACCACCTGTCGGGCTAACCAACTAGTCGACGACACTGGAGGCGTTGGCAATTGTTGGCTATTTAATAATATTCGACTGTCTCGGAACTTTGTTACGAAAACAAAAGATCTTATTGATGATTCCTTGAACTAAAGGTTATAAGCGGTACTACGTCATGAGTTGAAAATAACATCAGGCTCAGAGGTTGAGAAAGACTGAACGATGCGTTATTAAAAATGTCACCGGTTTAAAGCTTTGAAGCAGTAAAAGCTTTCAAATTAATGACTTTTATAATACGGTGACTGTTTCGTAACTAACATAGTAATCCCCTTTTAATGTAATGCTTGTGTAACATATTGTATGTTTTCAAGAATATATGCAATGCTATAACGGTTTAAGAATGGGTCAGGCGAAAATAGATACGACGCTACAGCAGTTTATTGGAAAACGTTAAAGATGGAACGTTTGCTTAATGTGGAACTACCGTTCTATTTTAATTCAAAATATTTAGATTCTATTTTCAAAATTGCACAATAATAAAATAGTTGTGCTAATTACGGACTTTTGTTACGTTATTCAGGTTACGGCTGTCGTTTGTAATTTGTTTAAATTATCTTTGCCCGAATTCTTAAAGAAATTGATACATCTTGCGGTAAGATATTTCAATGTCCGCCGCTTCTGACACGACAAATCCGCCTCGATGCTTGTTTTGACAGAACGCGTTTTGTAACATTATTTTTAATGATTTCGTAAAAAAAGGTGCAGTGTCGCGAATTTAGGTCGTTACAAGAAATGGGTCAGGCTGAAATAGTTTTTTCTATTAGCAATGTTAGTTAACACTGAGCAATTAAACAAGATTATGTTGTGTGAATGTGGGTTACGAGATATTTGTAGTTTTTAATGTTTGTTTCATAATTATTATAAATACGACATCATGATGAAAAACCTGTTACATAATATGTCTTTTAAACCCACTGTTGTTTTGGTAAATCCAACGAAAGCACTCGTGCCAATCATACATCATTTAAACAGCTTTCATAACCTTTATTGTGTATTATCTTTACATTCTAATATAATCAAATGCAGGTTCTTTTATTATTGACGTTCTTTTACTAAATATTATGATATTTAGACTATTTATAACCTATTTTAAAGTTAACTGAAATTAATTTTGCTATCTTTGTTCCAGGTAATAAAACTAGTCAAATCCGGTGAGCCATATCCATACAAAGACATCGTGTGCGATTTTGTGTTCGTGTGGTAATATTTCGTTAAATACGCCTAGTATTTCTGTCCTAAGCATTTGTGTTATTTGTGGAGGTTATTAAAATACGAAGGTAATACTAGGATATATTTGACATGGGTTAATTTTACACGTTCATAAAGTGATACTGAATTATTGAAGGTTACGTATGTGTAATAATAAATCGGGATAATTTTAGTTGTGTTGTAGTTAAGTCGCGTAACCCTGTGATGGAGTATTGGGCGTTTGTTTCCTTAATTTAAGGATACTCGAACATATAATGTACATAGTTGAGAATGTTTGCGGCCTAAAATATATATCTTTTAATTCTGATGTGTCCCCATAAAACCTGCTTTTACAATTGGTTAGAGATAATTAAGAATGAAATAATGGAAAAAAATACTAAAAATTTACCGTTAGCGTAAATCGTTGCATTATTTTTTCCTACAAATGTACAGCTATTCTCTTGCGCTAGATACATTACTTTTAAAATTTGATTTTAGGTTAAAAAAATTTTAAATAAATAATTCGAAGGAATATTTCCTTACGGTTAAATTTTGTATCTGATACATCAAATACGTTTATATAGTATTTAAAAAAACACCATTAGAAATAATTAATTAGACAATTCTGTTTACATGTGTGACCTTTCTCAATTGTAAAATCGATCTAGTACACGAAATATTCGTATTGAGCTATTTTCGTTTTCAGTTAGGTGTTATTTTTGGAGTTTCCTATGAAGGTTAATAACCGATATAGGTTGGCGCGAGTTTGATGTTATACATAAAACTTATTATCAATCATTTTCCCAATCATGGCCGTGCCCATATGTGTATTTTAAGCTATTGCATAGATTTTATCGCAGGCTTTGAGCGCGGCGACCGAATCAAGAAATTCCGTAACGAAAAAACCTAACACACGATGACGTAATATAGGTGCGGCCACTTCGCGTTAGAGTGGGACAGAACGCATACTGCGTCTCACATAGGTCTGGCGTGATCGGTGATGTAGCGCAGGTGCGTTAAAGTGGGACAAAATATATAGGCGTGTTAGTCTGAGTCTGGTATAGTGGTAGATTGAATTAATATCAAAGAAAAAAAATACTGCATAAATAATAAATAATTATAAGTTGATAAAAAATGCTATGCAATAGCTTAACTGCGGCAGTCCCCGAGTGCCACACGTATTTTTTTTTCTGTTGGCAACTTCGTATGGTAGACATCCACCGTGTTTCCATCCTTGCGTTTGACAGAAAAACGCAAGAACAAAATAGTATTTTACATATATACCGTGCTCAAGTGGACACTGAGCCATACGGGCTGGCTAGAAACCTAATCATAACAAATAACAATATATTATATACATAATTTAACTCTGGTTTTCGTAAACGATGCGTAGGTATACTTTATATTGGAACGTGTGACTAACGTGCCTACGTGCTTAAAGTATGACTAACAGCTATACTCAAAGTCTTTAATTAAATTTAATCTAACGTTAAAACACCTTCTTCTGTTTACAATTGGATTGGATCTTTATTAAATGACTAAAGCTTAACTTACGAAGTAACGACTTTGAAGTTTGAGTATGGAAATACTTAATACTAATAGCACAATTTAAATCAAGCTATAGGTCAATGAACTCTTGATATCCTTGAAATTGATTGTATGAATTGATTGAAAAATTTGCATAAATTTATTGTAAGTCATTTATCTAGATTGATTTATACCCGATATTTTTTTGAGTAATTAGAAATAAATAAAAAATATCTATTGTTTAGTTGACTATGGTTATTTTTTGTGAATAATGAGTTTTAACTTTTTATTACGTGCGTTTGGTTCGACATGTTAATAATAGTTTTAATGTTTAAGTAAAAAAAATCCCCGCAATATCTTTATAAACTCTGTTTTCGTCAAACAAAATACAATTGTTTGTATATTTTTTATTAATTTCCATATGAGAAATAATATAATTTATTCTGAATAAATAAATCTGTGTCGTTTATTTTAAAGCTGTCACTCTTATCTATTAATCTCTACTTTCGAAACTATAAACCAGTGTAGGGAGAGTTGACTAACTGGTAATTTACATCAGAGAAATGTTCTCATTTTGAGGCTTCTTTAAACTTTTTAACAAGTATAGAATTGGGCGATAAGTGTCACTAATCATAGATATTCAAAAGCATAAATTTTCCTTAAAGAGAGGTTCAAAGTTGCATTTATAAAATATGTGTATTTTGAAATATTAATAAATTTACTTTTTAGTTAGTTACTCAAAGGAGTTCATAGACCCGCAATCATCTAAGGGTTGAAGTGAGACGGATTTCTGTGTATATTTCTATTGAGTAGAAAATTATAGTTCGTCAATGTTGTCTTTGACAAAAAGCATTAACTTTGAATTTATTTCGTTTCTACGAAGTTATTCGTGCTCGGAAGCTTGTTAAATAAAGCGGTTTAATATAAGTTATAAATGTATTATTTTTTGTTGTTATTTGATGTTGCCAATTATGAAAATATGAAACCTTTGTGAACTTATTCTCGATCAGTGAAAGTTGTTTAATTCGCCAACCAGTGAACATTATGATCGAAGTATTGATAAAATAAAAACAATAGATAATTTGATACTTTCTATATTAGAATTGTTTGCTTTTGCCATTCTTTTATTTCTAAATGATTAATGTCTAGGAATCGGAAATTCAGAATATGATCCAAGTTAATTAAAATGTTATATTTCAATCGGTAATAGATTACCGTAAATAATTTCTTAAGCGATCATAGTATAAAAAGTTATTACAAGGTTATATTTGATCACGATTTGAAGGGCACGGCTAACTGATTGATATACACAAATCAGACAAGTGAACCTGTCAAAAGTGCAATAAATGTTTACAATGAGCTAAATAAACAAAAATTCTTTTAACACAATCTTAATTCCTTTAGAGTTTCAGTTTATATTATATTAGGCTTAATTTTAGTTCTTTGAGGAGATTTGAAAGAGCCTTTGAAGTCAAATTAAAAATAATATTTGAATTGATCGCTTTCCAATAGAGAGAGACGGGTCCTAGTTTGGGTTTCAGAATAAAAAGGTTCAGATCAAATAACTGAGATGTCCTACTGCTTAGCTCATAGAAGGAGGGTGTCTTTGGGTATGGAACTTAACTTCTAAACATTGAAAGTTCACTTGAAACTTACCACACTCTCCCAACTGCCTCCCAAGATCGTTTTGTCCAACATTATCACAACACTGTTTTGATATCACGCCAAATTACGAAACGTATTGAGTAATCAAATGAAAACGGGATAGACACGTTGTCGCTGGCTAGCCGTGGATATTGGCACTGTGTTCACTCCAAGCTTTCCTGAACGACTGAACTGAAATCATTGCAGCGAAAATATTTATAGGTCGCCTGAGGGCGGATTTCAGGAAGATGTTACTTCCACTTAGCGTGTAGTCATTTCTTTCGGGGAATACTATATATACCTAGCTTTCTTCTCAACTTATATACCACATTTCGCGATAGATGAAATAATCATTGTCCTTATGCATTCGAGGCTTAAAAAACCCGATTTTCTTTTAAAATATCAAAAAATCAATAGTAATAAAATAGATTTTTCTTAAATACGGAATAATTATAATCTAGTCAACTCAGGGGCTTCCTAATTAGATAAATTTTGTCACAACCATATTTCTGTCATGAATAAAGTTTTTTATTATTATATTAGAATGAGGTCAGAATTGACAAAAGCTCTTGTTGTCTTGAGCATAAATTTAATACACAATATTAAAATCAGGAAGATATATTAATTTCATTAACTCTATTTAGACTCTTTTTTTCTGAACAAAAAAACTATTGTTTTAGGACGTTGGACGTTGAAGTAGGTCAACGCTGGTTGCGTAATACTATCACTCGAATTTGTCCACATTCATCGGTGAATATGTAATTTAATTTCTTTCAGATCTTTTCTGATACAATATTACAAAGGAGGTATCATGCGTTGTTTAATATAACTGAAAAAAGTTACAATAAAAATAATAGTGTCAGTCAGAAGTATTTAAAACTAACGTATCCATAAATTAAACTAAATTCATCTTTCTACGTGTTTATATCATCCATCATAATGTCGTATATCTATATATCAGAATAATAGTAATTTTAATTTCTTATAAAACATATTAAGTATGCATAATAATGCCATTAACTTAATTAATAAAAAAAACAATACACCAAACTTACTCATCTTTCCATGCAGTAGAATTTCACGTTGAAAAAAGCTTTTTACAGGAATTTATGCGTTGCTAGCACAAATTGGGTCAGTTCCCCGCAACAGGCCATTATGAGCCTGCCTCATTATCCTTTGTTTATAAATACAGACTAGATTGGGCCTGCATTTCCATTTTACAACCGGGTTAAGGAGTGCATCAGTGCACTCGAAAACGCTGACGTCAACGAGTCAATGACATTATTGGTTACAAGCGTTCATTGCCCATTAATAGATTAATTCGTTTAGGGTTGTCGGAATAACGTTGAATAAAACGGTAGGTTTGTAGATTTTCTTTAGCAGCGTTGGCCTAGTGACTTCAGCATGTGACTCTCATCCCTGAGGTTCGATTCCCGGCTCTGCAACAATGGACTTTCTTTTTATATGCGCATTTAATATTCTCTCGAACGGTAAAAACATCGTGAGGAAACCATTGCCTTAGACCAAAAAAGTCGACTAGTGTCAGGCACAGGAGGCTGATCACCTACTTGCCTATTAGATTAACAAATGATTATGATTTATTTATTATTAGTATTTTGGTTTGAACATTTTCATTTTTTTTAGATTACCGGATTTCGGTAGCTTTCGGTAAAGAGCTTTTTCTACCTTTTACATTCAAAATATTTTTTATTCAAAATACGGCTTACAAATTATTATGAGAGGTTCATTACAAGTGTCACATACAATTTTTTTTATTCTTATATAAATTACTTTTTGATATATTGTAGAGTTGTAGTCACGCAACGAACAGGGTATATCACACACCAACTTACAACTAAAATAATGTTTCTACGTACCTAACCAATTGACATTTTAATAAATTCAAATTATATTAATCGACATTCTCGCAGCCCCTAAATTGTTTGCATATAACGGCCAGTAATGTAATCACTAATGTTAAATAGTACGAGCAAGCAATTTGTGTGATTTATGAATAATGATACTAAATATAATATCGTTTACTTGAAGAGATAAGTTGTAAATTGAATTGTATAAACCTACGGGAAAGATAAATTTAAATAATATTAATGATGTAATCTATATGATATAGGTATATATACGTATCCAAAAGTTTTCTAGACTTGAAGAATATAAGATATAGATATATTATGCCCTTTTTGTTGACTTTTGTCTTGTATTAAATGCGTTTTAAATTATTCGTGTGCATACGAAAATGAAATGAAATTCCGACTACGGTACTTTCCTAGGTTTTCCCGATTGTAAAACATAGCTGATATCTTTGATAATAAAATAATTTACGGGAAAATAATTCTGTTGATTTATTACAGCGATAATAAAATAGGAATTTCCAGAAAATTACATTAATAGGTTTAAATTTTGTTGGTAAAAATAGTTTATTTTAATGCTTTTTCAAAACAAATATTCTATGGAGGCAGCGTTATGTCCACTATTGCTCTATATCTGAAAGAAAATTCATTATTTCCTACTGCTTATTAAATGCCAATATGTGTAAGCCCATAGGGAAATCAATACGTTAGTGTAAATAAAACTTTCCTACTAACTGGTTTTATTTGTTTACATAAATCCTCCCGTCATAACGCAAGTTGCCGGCCGTTGTTCTCAGAACATTGTGTATGAAATGTACTGTAAATAGTGCGAGTGTTGATGTTCCTTTGTGATTTATGTTGCCCTGGTACTTATAGCTCCTTCGTCTTACTGCGTAATGCCGGCCCAACCTCAAATATGTGTCCTCCAGTTTACTCTGATGATACATGTTCTTCTGATATTTTGTAAAAATTAAATTGAAAAAAAGTTATAAATATCGTATAGAATTTTTTTTTATAGAACAGGGGCACAAGTGCAGGAGGCTCACCTGTTAAGTGATACCGCCGCCCATGGACGCTCTCAATGCCAGAGGGCTCGCGAGTGCGTTGCCAGCCTTTTAAGAACCACGCGTACCACGCTCTTTTCTTGAAGGACCCTAAGTCGAATTGGTAAAATAGAGCGCAAACAACTTTATTAATACGAAACATATTTTTTATGTAAAGGTACTGGATAGAATCTCCTTTCAAGACAACCAAGTATATTAATGAAAAAAATAATATATGATTTAAAAAAATGGTGTTGATAAAATTAAAGCTTTGTGAGATACTTCATAAATAGTCAGCGGCTGCGTTGATATTCTGCTTAGAAACAGCACTATCATTAATTTTCAGGTTAAGGTTATACGGGCACCTGGGTTGGCCTTGAACTTTTCAATATAAATACTCGGTTCTTAGTTGAAAAAGTATAAAAATAAATTACAAAGTACATATGTAGGTTGATTTTTATCTAGTTTCGGTGTAATATTTTATTGAGCTTAAAAAAACTAGATATTTTTTTTGATAGACCAACATACAACTCCACAATTTTTAATTAACTCTCACCCACACTTGATACTCTTTCTATTAGCTTACTTATATACTATGGTAGTTAGTTAAGTTCTTAATAAAGAAATAACATTATAACAAATTAAAACACTCACAGCCCTTATATTATAAAGCATGGTCTATTGAAAGTACCGTTTTGGTAACCATAGTTACGACGATCTCTTTAAAATGGTTACTGTGGAAACATACGGTATATTTAGTCGTTTAGCCGTTAAGGTCACAAAACACGAATTAGTACAAATATGTTCATCCGATATAGCAATTCTTTTCATATTAAAAAAGTTATTTATCTCGTTGTTGTGTCATGTTTTCCTAGTGAACAATATACTTTTTATTACAAGAAACCTTAATAAAGCTTTATTTATGGTTACATCACGAAAAAGGGCGGAAAAGCGACCGTTCGGTTTCCCTAATGAAACCAGAGCCCCGCCCTTTGTGATTCCTTTGATGAATCACTTGCAACTCAATAAATAATTTTTAATAGCATGCTAGTAATAAACGTAGATAAGGACAAGGTAGATTCATTCCAATGAGGAAGTAAAAACAAATTTAAAATATTTTTTAAAATCTCTTAAATAAATATTTGTAATATTAATTAGGTTACTAGAATTATTTATATTATTAGTAGTTATTATATTTATATTATTAGTAGTTCCCTTAATAATGACTTTAGCAATGGTCAAATGTTAAAACTAAAAGTTTAGTTGAATTACTTAACAGATCTCTCAATTTTCTCGTAAAATTTTTATTTATAAAATCCGCATGCTTACAATATGTACTCTTATATCATGTATTTATCTGGTTATTCATTTTTGATTCGCACAGGCCGTAATCATCGTATTGTCATAACATGTCACATTGTATACGTAAGGATGCGCACGCGCCGATAGCCCTGCAGTCAGCAACGTGACGCAGGCGCTTCAAATAACATACTGACCTATTAACGAAAATATTTATTCTGTTTTGATAACCCTAGTAGAGCCTGCATTGATAACAAAAGTTAAAGTCAGTGTTATTTAAAAGTCACAAAAGCTGTAAGCAACGTATAAAGCATTTTATACACGAAATTGTAATAAGCGTTACAAGAAAAATTAAATAGGATGAATAAGATGCAGTTATATCTAATCCGAAAATCAATCAAGGAAATCCCATGCGTTCTTTATGAATGAGTGTAGGTACTACTACTATAATATCTATAACATCATCAAACACTAGTGTCAAAGTATACTAAAAAATTTTTTATGTAGGTAAATATAATTATGTAAACCTATCGATTCGTGCACGTAAAAATTCTTAGAAACTTCATCCTAGATTTTTTGCTGTGGGATTTTCATCTCTGACTTCACTCTGTTTTCAGCGAATTAGACAAGGAAAACAGATTCGTATGGCTGAAACTCGCGTGCGTTTTGTTCAAAATTTCTGTGAACCCCTCACGAAGGCATTTAAGAGACATTCTGTTTTACTGATCACTTCTTTCTTAGTTAGCGCTTCAACTAGTAATAATATAGGAATTTAGAATCTCCCGGTTTTACGCATGTCCCTAACTATGAATTAAAGATACTTTTGCTTTATCCATTATTATGA